CGGTCCGCTCACTGGTTGAGCACGGTGTGGGCGTGACACCGAGGGTTGTGATCCCGTTGCCAGTCACGGTACGGGCGCGACACTGTGGGTTGCGATCCCGTTACTGGTCACGAAAAAAGACAAAAAAGGAAAAAAAAAAACCCAAAAAACTCAATAGTCAGAAAAAAAAGGGCAAAACCCTCGAACAGTTATTTTGCCAAAAAGGATACACTAATGGCAAAGAAACACATGGAAAGTTTGTTCTCCACAAGGAACCAGCTCTGATGATGCCTTGATTTTTGATGTCTGGTCTCCAGAACCGACAACAGGTGTCTGTTGTTTTAAGACACCTGCTCTGTGGTCATCTGTCACACCCTGAGAGCAGAGGAGCCCTGCCAGGAGAGGGTGAGCGTGAGGTGATCAGATCTGTACTTTGACTTGCTGCCGTGGGGACGGGAGCGAGGGCTAGGGAGGATGGGAAGACCGTCAGGAGGGTCTCACAGAGAGTCAGCCGGTGGTCTAGACAAAGGAGGTGACAGCAGGGTGGGGGGGACAGCAGCAGGACCCGACAGGGTGGAATCGCGGCAGGCGGGTGTTAGTGACGGCTGGTCGGTGTCTGGTTTGCACACTTGTATTAATACAACTGAATACCTGAACTGGGTAATTTATAAAGAAACAAAATTTATTTCTTACAGTTCTGGAGGCTGGGGATTAAAAGTACCAGGGAACACATCTGCTGAGGGCCTTCTGCGTGAGAACTCTCTGCGGGGTCCCGTGGTGACACAGGCCGTCACACAGCAAGGATGGCAAGAGCTCTTTCACGTGCTCACTGGCTCTCCTTATAAAGCCATGAATGCCACTCCCGTGACAACCCACTAGACTGTTAACCATTACTCCACGAATGGATTAATCCACTCACAAGGACAGTCGTCATGATCCACTCACCTCTTAAAGACCCCACCTTTCAATACTGCCATGGTCTGATTTCCCACCCTCTTAATGCTGTTACGATGGGGGTCAAGCTTCAGTGAGTTTTGGGGGACTTTCAATCTGCAGCAGCATCTGAGGCTGGAAGAGGCCCTCTCCATGGAAACGCTGAGCGGGCGGCTGGGGACAGGGGTCTGGAATCCAGGAGGTCTGCGTGGAGACAGGCCTGGGGGCCACTAGGTGCAAACAGGAAGAGATGGTGGGAGCAAAACCGTCTAGAGAAGAGCAGGAAGTGGGAGGGGCCACCACGCGGGGGCAGCTGCAGGAAGAACAGACCGTGAACAGACCAGTTCACTCCTTGAACAGCGAGCAGCACAGCCAGAAGCAGGGGAGCCGGCAAAGCATGGGCTTCCGGAGGAGGAGGCGCCGGTGATGCCAAAAGCTCCAGAGGGGTCAAGTAAGAGAGGACCAAGGCCTGTCACTTGGCCTGGTGACAGGGAAGACCCTGGTGGCCTCATGAGACATTTTGAGGAAGGACATGGTCACTGGTGTTGGAAAGCCAGGAGAGCGTAGCAGGGGGATCCAGCTAAAACAGCCAGGAGGGCCACATTATGGGAGTGAATTCCAGAAGGTACTCTCCAGAACGCGGGTGAGGCACGGGAAGGCGGCTTGGCTCTAAGTGAAAACAACCTCTCTATTGTGGTATGTAAATCAAAACAGGAACGGAAGGACTGTCAATAGACCCAACCGGTGTATTAGCTGGAAAATAGATGGAAACTAAGGGTCATTAAATCAATCTTGTGTGTGTTTCCCATCTGTCTGATGCAGG